TAATAGTGGTTTCACACTCGTCAGCGTACTTCTGGCAAGCAAGTGAATCTTGTGGAACAGTTAGCAGAAGCTTAAGCTATATGTTCACCTCTTCATTGTGCAAAAAAAGCCCCCGGTTAAATGCTTGTTGAAATAGTTATATTGGAGCATAAAGAACAAGAGAAATTGTTAAAAAGAAGGAATGGATAAAAAAATATTTAATGTCCAAAATGGAACCTGCAATTGAAAAGCAACCAACAGAATTATGGAGAGAGAATTCGAGGTTTTATCTTTTGAACTGTTAATGTTTTGCACTTTTTCCCAAGTTCTCATCTGTTGAGATGGACCATGCCAATTAGATAACATAACATTGGTCATTATATTTCAAGACAAATAAAACTTTACAGAAAAATTAATATACACATTTATGGCATCAACAGGATATCAGGATGACACTTTATTCAGCAAAACAAAATTAAAGAATTAGAAAATATGGTCCAGGAAATCCTGGAAGAAACCTGAAAACCTATATAGATAAAATAAGGCGGAACAGACTTCAAATTTGAATATACTTCATATAAATGAAATGAAATTAAGTACCACTTGATCCTGAGCATTCTCTTTCATAAAATGGTAAAAATGAATTAAACGGTCATTTGGACTGAGGTTCTTCTCTTCTAGAATATGAGATAAAGAACTTACTACATTTAAGTAAATAGACATTGGAATTGATAAGCGTGACTTGGATAACAATGTTAAAACTCCTATAGAAGTCAAAAGAAGTCATATGAAAAAGGACAAGCTAAGACAGTTTCCAAAATAATACACAAATATGTTGCTAAGCTAAGTCATCCACAGTACTCTTGGGACAATACTCAGGAAGATAGGTACACTGGTATTGCTAGCAGTGATTATGGTGCATTCCATGGATTTGATGATGATGGCGACCATTAAACCACTTATTGTTGTACTCGTTCGATGTAGTTTGAATTAAATTTGAAGAAAATTTATCTAATTTATGCAATGTCTATTTTAGTTTGTCTGAATGTGTTGCAATGTTAGTACAAATATCATATGAAATTTGCGGTGTTATTATTAATATCAAAAATGTAATATACATATATTAGAAATTATTAATGCAAAATAAAAATAATAATACATTACAAAAAGACCAAAATATAAATAATACTAAACAAAACAATTGAAAGATCAAAAAAAATAGTAACAAAAGACAAAAAAAAAAAAGGTTGTTAGCCGCTGAAACCAACAGCTGACAACTTAAATAACGCAAGGCCTTCCACAGCAGGCCTTGCTTTATTTAAAAGCTTTGCCTTGCATGAAAATCTCATGCAAGGCAAAGCTTATAACCTTCTCGTGCGCGCGGTGCGCAGGAGAATGGGACTGTATATGTGTATATATATATCACGAATTCCAAGCTTTCTCTTACCGATAGGTATCAATTCAAGTTGCTAAGGGACCAAACTAAGAGTTCCCGTCTAGACCTGAAAGAATTTTTATCGTGATAATAATGAATGCACACTCAAAATTTGTTCATCTTGCATACAATTTTTTCCTTTTCCTCATTGTGGAAATGGTCGAGGTCTACTTTGAATAGACAACTTTTTTGCAAAATTGTGAACTGTGCCATTTAAAAATAAACTTTTAAAACGGGTACAATTTTATTTTTTTTATATTATGTTATCGTATATTCATTTTAAAAGAAGTTATGGATCAAAGAGTTAGAGGAACTTGTGGAAATTTAACACTTGTATGTGTAATTTCATAAGTATTATCACACGGAATAACTAGTTCAAAGCATTTTAGCTACCTGTAATTTGGATAATACTTTATGAGATTTACACTATTGTTAGATTCAAATCGAAAAATATCTAATTCTTATGCATGAGTGTTGATATTTGATTATGTGATTAAAGTTGATTTTGAACAAGTGAGGAATTGTTGGAATCTTATTGTTCAAAATCGTGGTTGGATGAATTAAAAGATCCGTGGATGGATGAATTGAAAAAAGGAAGAAAAAATTCTGTTTGACGCCATAAAAACGGCCTATGCGACCGCATAGGCCATATACGAATCAGATCGCGTAGGCGCCCGCAGTGAATTTTGGGGCGCTGGTGCTATAACAATGAGACCGCATAGTTATAGTCTATGCAGTCGCATAGTTCAAGTTTTTTTATCGTTGGCTGAATTTTTTCAAAAAAAAAATTGGTGGCTTATTAGTGAATCAATGCACCTATTCACTTGAGTTTGGAATCATTTCGTATGAGATGTTTGGAAACTATAAATACATGATAGTTTTCATTCCAAAATATAATAAAAATTCATTTCATTATTCATCCAAAAACCTTGAAGAAATTTTGTCACTTTACATAGCCCCCCGTTTGACACCCATTTTTTTGGATAAATTCTCATTTTTCTACAGTAAAAGCTGCTTACACGTACAACCCTCTGATTTTTTTTTTTAAAGATTTCTATCAGACCCACAATGCCATTGAGATCCACAGACTAATTTGCCCTCTGATTTTCAAGCCAATTTTCGTATTTGCCCTCCATGTAATTGAATTGTGTGAAAGAAAACAAAAAGTACTTGGAGGGTATAAACGGAAATGTTAATATTTGAAATTGAAAGTAATCAATGTTTGAGTCCACCGTACTTGACGCCTGTCACATGGGACCCACTTTTACTGTAGAAAAATGAGAATTTACCCCAAAAAATGGGTTTCAAACGGTAGGATAATCAAATTTCCATTTTTTTTCACTTCTGGACCTGAAAGAATGTTTACCGTGATGATAATAACAGCTTGTTTGTCTCCCATTATTGGGAGACAATTAGTATAATGAATAGTATTTTTTGGAGAATGTGTGGTTGAAAATTAAAGTAACTTTATTGGTTTGTGTGTAGAATATTTTATTGGGTGAATGTGTGATGGAAAATCTTACAGTAGCAAACAATTTTTTGGATTAATGACTCCCATTATTGGGAGAAAATTAGTGTAATGAATAGTATTTTTTGGAGAATGTGTGGTTGAAAATTAAAGTAACTTTATTGGTTTGTGTGTAGAATATTTTATTGGGTGAATGTGTGGTGGAGAATCTTATTGTAGCAAACAATTTTTTGGATTAATGGTAGACAAACATGGGCTAAATGCACACTCAAAATTTGTTCAGCTTGCATATAGTTTTTTTCCTTTTCCTCATTGTGGGAATGGTCGAGGTCCACTTTGAATAGTCGACTTTTTGCAAAATTGTGTGCTGCACCATTTAAAAAGTTAGAACTTTTAAAAGGGGTACAAATTTGTTTTTTACATTATGCTATCGTATATTCATTTTTCTTCAAAGGTGTTTGACCCACATTATTTTTTTCATTCTCATTTTTCTACTAATTTTTAACCAAACATTCTTCAATAAAATAATATTTTCCATCACATCAATAATTTTTTCTTATTTTTCAACCACATATTCTCCATCACGTCAACAGTAAAAATACATTTTTTTTTCAAAAATGTGCACCAAACGGGGGCTAGATGGGTGGCAAGAACTGAACATAAGATTTATTAAGTCCCGTTTGAGCCTCATTATCTAAAAATCCATTTTTCTTTCTCAAATTCTTTTTTCAACTACACATGCACACAATAAAATATTTTGCACGTAAACCCAAAAATTGTTCATATTTTTTAATTATACATTTTCAAAAAAATCACTATTACAAAATTCATTTTCAACAACAAATGGAGCTCAAGCATAGACTCAATTTTTTATATCACTTTGAATCACAACATAAGGGACAAATTATCATCATCACTACAAAAGCCAAATGAAAGAAATTCACCAATCTTACAATTGTAGTTATTTTGCATTATTTTATTGAAATCTTTGCACAAGCAACAAATGAAAAGGATGGACAGGGACAGAAAGAAAAAATCTGCCGAACAAAGAGAAGGGTTTTACAAAAATGCAGGCTAAAGGAGCCATTGTCTACTAGGAAAGCCATGAATACTTGGCTAAAAACAAATTTCATCTGGCCACTTTGCGTAACAAGACACGCACATTACACACCATTTTCTATTTTCTACTTGCCCATAAAACCTTTTTCAGACTTTTTGACTCCTTTCAGTCTTCACCACCAAGAATCATTCAATAAACTACAATAAAACAATTTATTCATTGCCCTCCAAGTCAGTGCTTTGTTTCTTTTTCCTCATGAAATAGCCCTTTGTTTCTTTGATCTCCATTATTTCCGAAATACATTTTTCTCTCACTTCTTTTCAACCACACATTTTTCAATAAAATAATTTTACACATAAATTCAAAATTTTTCCTTATTTTTTAACCATACACTCTCCATTAATTTACTATTCCAAAATACATTCTCAAAAGAAAATGGGGTACAAAAAAGTGCATTCGTTGAACTATTTCATCTAAAAATTTGTGTTAGATATGATGCAATTTTATCTTTAACACGTACATTGTTTGACACCAATTTTAGTAGAAAAATGTATTTTTAAATAATGACTGATGGAAGAATGTGTGGTTAAAAAGTAAGAAGAATTTTTAGGTTTATGTGTAATATTATTTTATTGATAGAATGTGTGGTTGTAATGAAAAAAGAGAAAAAGAATAAGAATGAGAATGAGAAAAAAATGGGTGCCAAACGGGGGCTAAATTTAACCCTTGTATGACAACCATTATTTAGGAAAAACAAAGTTTTGAATAGTGAATTTTAGGAGAATGTGTGGTTAAAAAGTAGGAAAGATTTTGAGTTTAAGTGCAGAATATTTTATTATGGGAATATGTGGTTGAAAATTAGTAGGTAGAAAAAAGAGTTTACAAATAATGATTGTCAAACAAGGGCTTGATGTACGTGGGTGGGGACAACATTTGAACATGTGAGCTTTGTTTAGTCTAGTATCATATTTTTACCACTCGTTAAAGGTCATAGATATGACACACACATATATTATATATATTTCCATTTCAATGTTCTTCAAATGAGTACCAAAACAATGACATTTTCAAGAAGTGAGAGCTGTGAGAATATATGCAAAGAGATTCATGAATATTTGGGGGATACAGTTTTTCTAATTCAAAATCTGGCTAGTCTAAGCCAAAGTGAATGCAAGAAAATCAGAGAAACGTACACAGAAATTTATGGGGAGGATCTTGTTCAAATTCTTGGAAACACAGCAATGGCTAGCCAAGAATCTTCAAGGACATGTGCAGCCTTGTCCAGTTTGATGCTTAATCCATATGAACACGACGCTGTGGTGGCAAGAGAGGCGCTTGTTGAGCCAATCAATTATAAAGCTCTAGTCGAAATATTTACATGCCGAAAATCAAGCCATGTTCTTCTCATACTTCAAGCTTATCAAGCAAGATTTAGGAGGCAATTGGATCAAGATATTGCAAGGATTGAGCCTCCCAACCCATATCAGAAGGTAAGCATATCATCTCGTTTATATGGTTATTTTGATACATTGACGTCTTGTTCTGTAACTTAGATGCTAAATACTTGATAGAATTGAGCAAAGAAAGAAGTCAGTGCTATGTTTATTGGGATTAAGCCCCAATCACCATCCTTAGAGCAGTAATGAAAAGAAAGAAAAATGAAGACACACACACACACTCATATCTGCAGATTTTTTACTATGATCAAGGAGATTGCGATGTTTTTCTCACAACACACAATGAAAAACACCCCTCTGTTATATTGTGCGCACGCAGAAAAAACTGCTGTTCCTTGTTCTTTTATATAACTTAGAAAATTAGGACGACTTGATAATTCATACCAGTGTATGAATGTTCAATATACACCTATAATAGGTTGATATGGTTGAACATTCTAATTAGGCTCAACAAAGTTCAAACATTGGTACTTAAAATGCCAGGAAAATGTGGGGGTTTTTTTCACATATAATCAGGAAATGGTGGATGGCCTTTTGTTGACAGATATTGATGGCATTGTCTGCATCACACAAAGCACACAGTGCTGATATTAGCCAACATATTGCCAAGTGTGACGCAAAGAGACTTCATCGAACAGGGGAGGGAAAATCAGGAGCCATTGATCCAGCTGTAGTTACAGAGATCCTCAGTAAAAGGAGCATTGCACAGCACAAACTAACATTTTCCACCTATAACCATATTTATGGGCACACTTATACAAGTGTAAGGCATTGTATATGAAGTGATTTACATGTTAGACTAATTGAAATTAGAGTTGCCAAGCTCTTTTGAAAATCCTAACATTACTTCTGTTGAAAATATTCCTTCATTTATTTTTCAGTTTCTGAAAAATGAAGTCTTTGGAGAGTTTGAAGATGCAGTGAGAATGGTGACGAAATTCATATGCAATCCACCAAAACAGTATGCCAAGGTACTTTTTAATACACTTCCTCTACCTCTACCTCTACGACCGAGGATGGGTTGAAGACCCTCGTTAACTCTCTTGAAATAACGTCATTAGATGTGCTTGTTAACCATTGTAGCACATTCCCCAAATATGGCCTACATTGAGGATAAGAAATTATGAGATAGAGCTAGGCTATTCGTTGTAGGGAATCAATGTTGCGGGCCGAATATTTTTTCTTCCATGGATATGGAAGTCTAGTCAAGTCTTTTGCAAAGTAGCATTTGGAAAGCTTACTGATTGAGATGCTCTCCCACCCCTTCCACTTATTTTTCACTATAGATGAGGTATATAGCAGTCCTTTCTTTCATTTTCTGTCCCTTTCATGCCCTGTTTGTGAGACAAAGTGAGAAAGAGTCGTCTTCTATCATAATGTTTAATGGTCACATTAATTGAATTATTCATGATGTTGTCATCTTCATCTTCTTCTGTGGGAGTTGATTTGGCTCGACCCAGGTTGATTTAATCATGGATCGATTCCTTTTGATCCAATTTGAGATCGACACCGACTTAGTTAAGTGTTGATTTTGTTCAATCATGTTTGGGATGTATTTATGAACGATTTAAATTATAAATAGAAATAAATGAATAGTGCATAAGTGGACAGTACTTATGAGTCATTCAAACTGTGTAGATAAAAAGCGATTTGACCCTTGATAAACAGTTTATAAACATTAGCCAAACATAGACCTAGATTAAATAAAAAAGAACTATGTCATTGACAATAAGGCCATTTAGAACATTTTATGGAGTAAAGAAACCTTCTCGAACTAAAAATTTACAAGTAAGGTCACTGTTTACGATATCCTTTTTAGAACATTTGCCTGATAAAGTAATCTATCTACTGTAAAGATGTAAAGTATAAATTATTTGTCATGTTTCTTTTTGTAGACGTTGTATACTTGCTTAAAGGGCACGACAACTGATAAGGGTGCTTTGATACGTGTTATGGTGAGCCGGGCCGAGGTCGACTTGGACGAAATTCAGAGGGTCTTCAAGAAGAAATATGGTATGGAATTGAAAAGTGCCATATATGACAGTGTTCCGGCTGGGAATCACAGAGACTTTCTTGTTGCATTGGCCACAAAGGTCTTCCTAGATTGATGAATAAAAAGAAACTCTTTAGAAGTCTACCCTTAAAATTTATATAGCCTGGGTATTATCATTCCCATATTTCGTGAAATTCTATGCTTGAGCCATAGTGATCCATCATGGTATCTCAATCTTTGAACTCGTGACAATAGAAACTTTATTAAAGTAACAAAGCTCTTTATAACTAAAATATTCTCGATAAATTTGATGTGTTACTTATTTATTCTTTTTTGACTTTTTGTTCAACTCAAATAGACATCGGTCACTACTACTAAATACTATAATACAATACAACCAAGGATTGCGAAGGAGTTGAGCGATCGTCGGCTCGCAGGCTAATATTGGCCCATGGATTGTTCGGGCTCGTGTTGAAGAGAGCCATAGATCAAGCCGAATTCGAATTTTTTTACGAGTCCAACGGGCTCAATTCGTGGGGTCAGGCTCACGAGCCGGATAGTCTTGTGCTCATGGATCAACACGTTTTTTTGACATATTTTATTAATTTCTTAAAAAAAGAAGAAGAAAAAGGCGTCATCTCGAGCTGGGCTCATGTCCACAAGAATGAAAGGGTCGATCCGAGCGTTCTCTATGGACATGCTCCGAGCTTGGGTGTCTAAACGACTGAATTGGCTCAACCCGGTTCATTGCCACCCTAGATATAGCTGTTCCACATGTTAAATCAATTGAAACTGAATTGTCCAAATGTCAAAAAAATACACTGAGGTAAAAACAAATTCCTTGGCCCAATTAACAAAGAATAATGGGTACATGCCAATAGGAAAACCACAGGCATGGAAAATTTTCCAATGGAATCAAGCAAACCCAAAGTCTTAATTCTTGAAAACCAAAAAGAATTCATTTTCTTTGCAAGGAGGAAACAAAAAGGAACCTCTTTAGACACCCTAAAAGGTTTCCTCAAATCATTTATTGGACATATAAATAACTTGAGGAGAAACATTTCTTCATCAATTACCCCTACAAGTTTTCAGTAGCAACCGAGTTTAAGGTATGGAAGCCAAACCTGCAGACACATTTATTGAAGAATTTGAGCCTTTATGTAAGTGGCAACGTAAGGAGGATCAGGACATTCTCGAAGTCCATCTCAAAGGTATTGTCTTCTGCTTTTCATTTTCCCATCTTTCTAATCTTCTGCAACATATTTGCTAGGCAATGCCAAATAATATTGGACTTGACCTTAAATCATTCTTAGTTCGAATAGAAATATGATTTAAATTCTTGACCCAATGTTGTTTTTTACTAATTTTTCACAACTTTTGTCCAAGTCTCGACTTTTGTCATTTCAAATTGACAGATCTAATTCGAACTTTTGGCAGCTTGCCCTTTTTTGGTGGAGATTAAAATCAGATTTTAAATAGATTTTGATAAAAGTTGATGAAATTCGTGGTTAAAAAATTGTGGATCCCATAAAATGTGATTAAAATTAGTTGACTTTGAATTAGATTAAAATCTTGATTTTTACCAAACAAAGGCCTTATATGTCTATGCCATTGAAACATTACGATGCATTCAGGAAATAATACAAGTGCAAGAAAAATAATTCTAGTATGTAATCTAGTTAATAAAGTCCCGTAGTTTAAAGATCCTAATCGATAGTAATCAACATCTAGGTCGATTCAATCAACATATAAATTTATTAACAAAGCCCATATATAATTTAATTTCCTTAATTCCCTCTCTTGTTCAAGAATTCAAGAAGGAGCAACTGAGGGTACAAATCAGCAATTTAGGGATCCTCAAGATCTCAGGAGAGCGTCCATTAGGTGGTTCAAAAAAAAGCAGATTCTACAAGGAAGTTCCAATTCCAAAAGACTTCGACTCAAATGCAATTCGTGCAAAATTTGTCAATGGCTGTCTCTGCATTGCAATGCCAAAGAAAATTCCAATCCCTGATAAAAATGAAAAAACAGAACCTCCTCATGAAGATCAGACCAAAAAACAACCTCAAAATGAAAGTGATCAGAATAGCAGTGAGCAAGAAACATCTACTCATGAAGATCAGACCCAAAAACAACCTCAAAATGGAAGTGATCAAAATAGCAGTAAACAAGAAACATCAGCAGGTGCAAAATCTGTTGAGACTACACCAGCAGTGTCTGGATCTCAGCCGCGAAAAAGTGCAGTTTGTCCAAGATTACGAACGTTTGGCAAGGTGGTTGTGACGCTGGCAGCACTGGCAGCTCTAATTGCTTATGTTGTTTACATGTATAGATCTATGGTTCCTCAAGATGATGAAGAGCTTTAAGTTGTGCCTGTCCAATATTCTGAAGCATTTGTATGGATTGAAGTTCTACTGAATAATAAATGACATAAACTTGTTTTTATTCTCAGAAAATCCACAAATTTAGGAGAGTTTAAGGGGCCGTAGCTCCTGCAGGGCGGCAGGTCCTCCAGCCATTTTATTTTATTTTTTCGAATTTTTTGAAGACAAAAGATTAAAGAACTAGATATTTCTTTTCAAATTAAAAAGTGTTAAAAACTAAAAAGAGCACGGTGCGACATATTTGGCACTTCATATGCAAACTCCATCTATTTTTCGTAGTAATACGTGCAAGGGCAGAGCCAAAGGGACCAAAAAATAGTTTTCTACTGGATTGATATATAAAAAAAATTCCTTAAAAGTTAAATAGGCTTGGAGTCCTCCCTCCGTCCCTAAGTACATGTCAAAATTAAATTTTAAAAAAATAGTTTCGATAAATTCACTATCAGTATATGACGTTAGATGAAATGTCATAACACTCTAACAACTTCCATCGAATTGGCTCATGGGGCCATGAAAGTGAATATAAGTATGAGCTTCAATTATTAATTCCTTTAGTATTAACATTGCAATTTATTAGTTAGTCAATTTAATTTATTTTAAAAAGTTCCCTTGATGAGGCTGTACAAATTGACTAGAATTGATGTGAAGTGAACAAGACTTGTGTTATTCAATTGTCAGCGGTTTTAATCCATATTAGCGTTGTTAAGAATTAATTTGCACCATACCATTTTTAGCGAAATTAGTCACAAAAATGTTTCAGAAATGAGAATCATTTGTGCTAACACTTTGTCTGTGAGGAAATTTTGCAATGTAAGTGTTCGTAGTAAATTTATACTTGAGTATATTGTTACTGATCTAGAACTTTACGTTGGACCTGTATTGAAGTACATTGTCTAATTGAGATTATTTAAAAAAAAAAATTGATTGCCAGTAACTCGCTAAAGTTCCTTGCTAATATATTTAATATTAAATTGATATATTTGTCCAAACAAAAAAAAAAAATTGTGAAACAAAGAATAAATGTTAAAAAATCCAAAGTCATTGTCTACCGGATTTGTTTCAGTTTTCATCCATAAAGTTGACTGCAAAATTCTTAGAGCCTTCCCATCAAAGATCTCAGGGACTTTTTAAGGAGGAATATCGAGTAAATATCATGGAATAAGGTTTGATCTTGATCACCTAGAAAGATACTTGTCCAGTTGAGATGCAATATGATCGCATCACACTGTCTAGGACATGAATCGTTATATCGAGTTACAACGTGCTATTTTTTTCTTCCATTCCCTTTCAACGGTCTTCCAAACTTTACCAACGGTATGGACGAATTCCTCGCTTCGTCCAAACATGTAAAAGTAATAGATTTTCCGTCCCATCTCTACCTATTTGTTCAATAAAAATGATCAACGACCGTTGGTAATTTGAGAGTCAAGTCATCTGTCAGTACAAGTTACACTGAAATTGGGTGTGAAAAAGACAAATAGACAGAGATTTGACTAGAGTATAGAAGATACATACATTTATCTTTAGTTGTGTATAGGGGAAGGAATCCATGTGAAATTAGGTTACGAAGTCGCCCTACGTGTCAACCTTCCATTCATCCGTAAAGACCTAGTTTATTAAAGTGTGTTTCCTTTAAAGAGTTCGTTTCCTTGTGAAACCCGGTTTCCTTGTGGAGATTCATACTCCAAACTCGATCAAATCATATTAAACATTTTTATGATGTATCGTAATGTTAAATTTGGACTCATGTTTGGTATGGATGAAAATTAATTTTTTAATAAATTTTGATAAAAGGTTATGAAATGTGTGAGAGAAAAGTTATGAATTTCTTAAAAAATGTGATTAAAATTATTGTTGATTTTGATTTGAAAATTTTAATTGAATTCTTATCCAAACCAAACAATGCTGGATAAAATTTCAAATGGTTCTCTTGAGGTGAATTTTTTTAGAGCCTGTTTGGTATGAATTTTGATTTTAAGTTTCAATTTCAAAAATCAGGTGATAATTCCACATTTTAATATTAATAATATTATTATAAAATTAAATTAATTTATATACACACCCTACCTCCATCAACCATACCAAATTTCACACACACACACACACACACACACACACACACACACACANCCCCCCAAAAATCCCTTCCAAACACACTCTTAATTTTAAAAATTCAGAATGTGCTTTCTACATTGGCTTATTAATTATTTTGAATGAGAGTGCCTACATTGACTATGAAATTGCATCCGACAATATTGTGTGTTCAAGGTCATTACTAATTTTATTTATTTATTTATTTTGGATTGGGGTAGCCAAACTTTACGAGAAAATTACACTAACACTTGTTTTTTAACTTTTCATTTCAATAATCATGTACAAAGATTTTTTCTTTCAAAATCAAGTACATCCTACCACACCCACATTAAAAATAAATAAATAAATAAAAATCTATGACATCTCTCTATTCTCCCTATCTATCTATACCATTATTCATTAGATTGGCACCATTACTAAAAACCAGCCACCATATTAAACTTCATCTTCTACAGTTTTTCACAATATCGAGAAGATCCACACTTCAAGTTCCAACTGAGTTGGAGATTTCTGGCGAAAAGGGTGACAAATTTGAGCCCCACTGTCTTTTGTTGTGGATTTGGACCGTAGTATTCTACTATTTTTCACAATATTGGTCCAAGATCCACAGTTGAAGTTGCAATTGAGTCGGGATTTTAGCCCCTCCACGCCTCCTTCGAGGATTTGGACCGCGACGGCGTAGTATGGGGAAAAAGAGTGAATAGGAAATTTTGGTAGTTCGTCTCCTTGTGAAACCGGGTTTCCTTATGGAGATTGATACTCCAGGCTTGATCAAATCATATTAAACATTTTTATAGATTTGCGACCTTAATATATTTAATTAATAAATATTTTTTAATAATAATTTCAAAAATAGAATTTAACAATATCTTATTTTTGAAATTTTAAAATTTATTTCTTAGTTTTTGTTGACATTTGATCTGTGATCTAATTAAGTCTGTTTGTTATATGCACTTAGCTCATGCTAAATTAATGTCGGATCTGCAAGGTCAACTCGTATTTATGACTGTCGTGGTTTGAGGGGACATAATAGTTGTAGATTCCTTGCACACTGTCAAAACATTCAATCAATTAATAATATTCGGAAAGACTTACGTCAGCGCTCACCAATTCCACCAATCATATGATATAGCTTCATTCTCTAATCAGTTCATTAATTACTGAGGACCCCATTTAATGTCTGCTTCATGATAAGCTGATGGAGCCGACCTCAGCAACCAATGGGGATATGCCATTGGCGTACCTTCCCAGTTCGGTACTGTATGTTGATTTGACAGCAACCAATTGAGACTTAAGTCATTGGCACAAGTTTCTAGCTCGATACTGTTGTTGTCAAGACATGAATATGAAAGATACAGGCACATCATTTCCTATAAAAAGGAGGATAGTTTCTTTAGGAAAAGGGAAGGGAAAGAAGCTCGACAACTTCATATTTCAAATATTATTTGATTAAAAAACATTTGTAGTTTGTAAATAGTTATCAATAAAAATCCTTATTTACACTTGAAATTTGCTTGAATTTTGTTTATACAATTTTCGACGTCAACAATTTTGAATTTAATCATAGTTGAAATCTTAAATATGAATTTTTTCCATAGAAAAAATATTTGATAGACTTTGGTGGAGTTAGGTCAAATATTTTATGTTCGACTAGGGCTGTGGATTTACTTTACATGGGCCCATGGCTTTCCATCTCATTTCTAGTGTTCAAGCACTTTGGGAACTTCAACAGATTTCTACTATGAAAAAAAATTCAAAACCCAGACATTAAGTATGTTTGATTTCCTTAAAATACATCTCTCCATCCCTGAAACACAAATTCATCACAAAAGTTATCATTTACATTCGTCTCTATCTTCGATAATGATAATATTTACAGATTTCACGTCACAAAATTGAAGAATTTAGTTTCAAATCAATAATTATTATCAGTTGCATTAAAATTTCTACTATGCTAGAGTGAATTCGTGTCTAGAACATTCAATTTGGGGTCTGATTGGCGTCGTCTCACAATTGGTAAATGATTACATATTAGAATCGGGCAACTATTGTTGGTTAATCGGAATTGCGATTTTACAAACCTAGTAAATATCGTTATGACTGAGTTCGGTTTGGATCAAATGAAGGTTGCAGTCACAATGACGTATACATTGAACAGTGAGTTGCCTGTAATCAGAATAAATAGTGATAATAATGTGTTGTCCTACCTGATGCTGAAGTGCATTGATCGTGACCCTTCTAAATATCCGATAAACATTGATGTCACAACTATGGAAAGTGGAGAAAAGTCATGCATGGTTCCAGCGACGTTATGTTTTAATTAATGGATATGTCGTCAGACATATGCAATGCAACAGTTGAAACTCAGGTCACAATTTCAGAGATGAAGTCACAGTTGTCTCTGTGCCAATGGTATGCAAATAGAAAATGGAAGAATTTTCCATGATAAGGAAGTTCTGAAATTGAGTCTGTCTTTGTTTACAATACAAAACATGTTTGAATTCATGATTGTTCGTTTGGACAAGAAAGAATATCTTGCCAACTGTTCCAAAGAAGAGTGTAATTGGATATGCAAATCTTCAAAATTGGGGAAAACAAAGATGTTTAAGATTATGAGGATTACAGATGGTCACACATGTGCTTTGAATATAGTATTGGGATCTCACCAGGAAGGTATCAACCACAATTGTGTCATTTTGCATCAAATACAAGTACGTCTCCTCACGAACCATATACACTACAAACAATATATGTAACGACATGTTACATACATATGGAGTGTCTTTGAATTATGTAAAGGCTTGAAAATGTCGGGAGAAAACATTGAAGATGCTTAGGGGGGATCGTACAGATTAATTCATGAAAATGCCAACCTTCTTTTATATACT